GAATAAATACAGTAAAGCTAAATAATTACGGCCGCGTCCTGTGGTAAAGTGCTAGTGTGACCCAGCCGGTGCAGTCAGTTCTTATTTGAACGCTTGGCGAAACAGCTCAGTTTTCACCGCTCTACGGAACTGCTGGAGGTCCCGTAGCGCTCTAATTTCATTGGGGAGCTTGTTCCACAGCGTTGGTGCCACCAGGGAGAATGCCCTGGTCCTGGTTACCATCAACCTGGCCTCCTTAGGCCCGAGGGGGGGCAGGCGGTGTTGTGATCCAGACCGCAGTGCTCTTGGAGGAATGTATGGGGAAAGGCGGTCCCTCAGATAGGCAGGCCCCTGACCATTTAGGGCTTTAAAGGTCAAAACTAGCACCTTGAAGCAAATCCAGAATGCTATTGGAAGCCAGTGCAATGACTTCAGCACAGGCTGGATGTGCTCCCACCTGGGGAGACCCATCAACAACCTGGCTGCCGCATTTTGCACCAGCTGCAGCTTCCGAAGTTGCCCCAAGGGCAGCCCCATGTAGAGAGCATTACAGTAGTCTAGCCTTGAGGTGACCATAGCGTGGATCACTGAAGCCAGATCATTGTGCTCGAGGAAGGGGACCCACTGCCTAGTCAGATGAAGGTGTTGTGTGCTGTTGTTAGCTGAGGGTTGATCCAGACATTCGGCACAGCAGCCAGCCTCCACTGGGCCCAGCTGCATGGACTGGGGTGCCCTGTACAAACTGGTAATCACATGTGCAAATAATCTATGCCCAACTAACCTGGGAAGGGCGGCTGTTGTGTGCTGGAGTGCCCGACTCTCATGACATCCTTTGTGTGGCGACGGACGTGCCGCTTGCTGTGCATCAGTTTTTCAGCTTGGGGGGGGGGGGAGGCACGAAGTCACAGCTGACCTATAGCGACCCCGTAGGGTTTTCAAGGCAAGGGATGTTCACAGGTGGTTTGCCATTACCGGCCTCTGCGTCACGACCCTGGCATTCTTTGGAGGTCTCCCATTCGAATTCTGGCCAGGCCCAGCCAGGCCCTGCTCTGCTTTTGAGATCTGGCGAGAGCTGACCCTGTGAAAATCTTCTCTGTGCAATTTGTGGAATCAGGCCAGTTTTCCTGGTGGGCACCAGGGGGCGCCCTGCTTCCTCTTCCTCCTCCTCTAAAGGGAATAAAGCCTGCCATGTCAGATTACGCAGGGAAGCCATTGAAACTCTCATAAACATCAACACCATTTCAACAGGAAAGAAGAGCGTTTAAAAATCATTGAATAGGGCATGGTTTCCTGTCCTGAAAAACACAAAGTGCTCTACATCTGACAGTAGCACTACGGATAAGATTAGAATTTCAACAGCCAATCTGTATGCAAAAGAACCTCCGCAGGAAAGCTCCTCCATTAGCACGTCACAGCCTGGGGAACTCCTACAAGATAATGACTCAGCCCTACCCCACCTTCCTGAGGAGATATAAATTACCTGCCTACCTTTTTTCTTCTAACATTGAAACAGAGAGGACTCCATCTTTCTGTGATATACCTCTGAGGATGCCCGTCACAGCTGCTGGCGAAACGTCAGGTCCTACAGTGCCAAGACCACGGCCACACAGCCCGGAAAAACTACAACTAAGGGATAAAGCTTATTCATCAGGCATGATTCTTACCTTGCCGATAAAATTAGGAAGGCAGTCTACTCTTACACAAACCTCCTACAGGTTTTGAATCCAGTGGTACCTTCAAGACCAACAAAGTCCATGCACACTGCCATTGGATTAAAAAATAGTTCAACTGCTTCAGACCGACGTGGTTGCCCATCTGGACGAACCTACTATTTCATAAATTAATTTGTCACTAAGATGGACCGTCCTATTCTTTCTTGGCAGAGACAGTTGGAGGTGTAATGTCTCTTATTATAGCGGTGCAGTCGTACTCACAAGCACAACACAGTTCAGGTCCACGACCTCGTTTATTCAATAGTTTCCTCAATACAAGATAAGCCCCGACCTGCGGGGAAGAAGGAGAGAGGGAGGAGTGCCTCTCTCAATCCTTTTCAGGTGTATAGAAACGATACAACTTAATCTTAAAGAGATATACAACACATCTCCCTTTCATAGTTAAAATAACAATGAGGATTACATTGATAATAACATACTTAAAACAATGATTAAATTTTTAAAATCCATATCTTTCAGGTCGAAACACTGATCTACCATGTGCGGTAACATATATCGATTGCCTATGATATTCTGGTACCTCACCATTTTCTCTCTTCTCCTCTCTTCTCCTTTTTCGATATTTTCTCTAGTATCCCCCTCTTTCTGAGCTTTGAGCCTCCGTCTATTTCTTATATACACTTGGCCATTATCTGTCACCACCTGATATGCTCGAGGTTGCTCGCACCGGCGTATGACCCTAGCTGGCGCCCACCCCGCCCGTGTTTCCACCCATACTTTCTCATTTTCTTTCAATGGCCTGAGTGGTTTTGCTCCTCGATCATAATAATATTTCTGTCTCTCCTGCCGTTTCTTCAGGTCCTCTCTCACCCCAACTGCTACTTTAGGCTGTAGCATCTCTGTTGTTATGGGCAACTTAGTCCTTAATTTTCTTCCCATGAGTATTTCTGCTGGGGAATACCCCATATCCGTTATCGGTGTATTTCTATACTCTAAGAGTGCTAGATGTGGATCTGTATGTGTCTCTTCAGCCTTTTTCAGCACTTGCTTTATTGATTGAATTGTCCTCTCCGCCATTCCGTTTGACTGTGGATACCCCGGGGTACTTAGACTCTGCCCACTTCTGACACCATGTAATGTCTCTTATTATAGCGGTGCAGTCGTACTCACAAGCACAACACAGTTCAGGTCCACGACCTCGTTTATTCAATAGTTTCCTCAATACAAGATAAGCCCCGACCTGCAGGGAAGAAGGCTTAAAAACGGAGAGAGGGAGGAGTGCCTCTCTCAATCCTTTTCAGGTGTATAGAAACGATACAACTTAATCTTAAAGAGATATACACCACAGGAGGCAAGCATGTGGACACTGGAGCAAAACTGTCCCCCCCCCTCCCCCGGGGATGTTTTCCTGGACTTATTTATCTGGCTAGAGATGAGAGGGCTTGGTGGAGTCTGAACGTGGTCTCTTCTGGCACCAACTGGGACATCTGCCAGAGCACGTGAAAACAGAGTTGTGGTTTTGGTCCGCTTTGGTAAGCGCCTTGTAAGTTTTGGCAGCTGGAGGCACACAAGGGTTGTTTTGTTATGGTTGTTTTCCAGGGCTGGGACCAGTGTTCCCTCTAAGCTGAGTTAGTGTGAGCTGGCTCACAGTTTTTTAACCTCCGGCTCACACGTTTTTGTCTTAGCTCAGGAAGGAAGGCTCCAGAGCAAACTAATTTATGCCGTAGCCAAATAACTTGCTCACAATTCTAATGCCAGTAGCTCACAAAGTGGAATTTTTGCTCAAAGGACTCCACAGCTTAGAGGGAACATTGGCTGGGACTCATTTGTAAGACTGACAGGTAGCTCACGATGTGGCCGTCTGTCTTTCCCTTGTCTTTGTAAAACAGCACTGTGGCGTTTGACCAGAAGTGATGGAGCGGGTGCAGAGGAGAGTGACGAGGATGATCAGGGGCCTGGAGACCAAGAAACCCTGTGAGGAAAGGCTGAGGGACTTGGGAAGGTTCAGTGTGGGGAAGAGGAGGTTGAGGTGGGACATAGTGCCTCGGGCGGGGCCCCCACACCTGGTAGAGTGTCTGAGCTCTTATTGGGAGGTGGGACTACTGACGAAGGACAGCCCGACAGCCAGTGAGAGAGAGGGACAGGGTGGAGGGGAGGATAAAAGGGGAACAGAAAGGGAGACCGGGGAGGAAGAGAGGCAGAGGAGAGGACGGAGGCGGGCTGACCAACGGTCGGAGAGAGGCGGCGTGGCAGACGCCTCCAGTGGCTCTTGCGGGCGCAGGTTTGCCTTGGCGAGGTAATCAGGTAGCCGGCCCCATTCTGAGGTCTCCCGTTCCCTTGCAAAGAGGGGCAAGCGCCATTGCGGGACGGCGACTGGGGGTAGGGACTCCCCCGCGGAGCGGGCGGGAGCGCCACAGTGCCCATGTGGGAAATGGAACCTTTCAAATCGCTTTTACATTTTAAAAAGTAATTTCCCTCATCCATTCTCTGTTTCTGTCATAATAACCGAAACGCGTCTGAATCAGCAAGGGGATCCGTCTTGCAAGTCCTTCCTTTCTTAGTGGTGTGAGGTTTGTTTTTTTCTTGGCTCGTAGTGGTGGTGGTGGGGACTGTATTGATGCGTTATGTCAAGTGGTTTTCCATATGCAAGTGAATAACTGGACTGGGAGGTTCCTGGCAAAGGACCCCGTCCAGGCAGGGGGGCACACAGACCCCGCCCCCCACTGGCGTGTATTAATGCTCCCATCTGATTTCGTTTTTACGTTGTCTGGCAATAAATTCATCTCACGTCACATTACATGATCCTTTTGTGAAAACGGCAGACTGGTCATTTCTCTGGGAATAAGGCTGTGTAGCAGAGTGTCTGGTGAAAGTTCAGCATGAGGGTTTTAGTACTTCCTGACAGTGTTGTTGGGTGTAGTGTATTATTATTATTATTATTATTATTATTATTGGTCTTGGTAGCACCTGAGATCATAACTGTGGTGGCGGGAGGGGCAGGGTCTGGTTTGCTTGGCTCTTGGACTCTGTAGCACATCCTCCACTGCTCCTGAGTTGCCTTCCTAGAAGACCTGTGAAGTTGCACCCTCCTGTGTCCAGTGGACACCCTGTATTTAGTGCACAAACCCAGTCTGGACACATTTGCCCCATCCGAGATCCCCCAGAGAGCATGCGGCTCACCTGGGCCCAGGTCTCCTATGTCAAAATCCACCCTCCTCTTTGCTGGTCCACAGGGGTGGCTTCTTTTCCTTCCGGTTTAGCTTTTCTTCCGTGCTGGTTGCATAAACCGCCACGGCAGGTGTCGCCTGCTATCGTCAAGGCAAGTGGTGACTCTTTCTGTCATTGCAGGAGGTGGCGAAAACAGCAGCTGAAAGACCGCCACGGGCGACTGATGGCAGGGGAAGATCCGGACGAAAGCGATGCCGAATTTGACGAGAGTTTCCGTGTGCCAGGTTTTCTCTATAAGAAGCTTTTCAAGTATGTATCACCGTTGGGGCGAGTGGGAAAAGTCTGGTAACTTAAACTAATAATTATTATTACCGTGCGGCAGTGTGCGTGTGGAATAGCCAGGAGATTCTAAGATTGTCTGGCAGCCAGAAGTTCTAGCTCTTTTAGCATTAGACACCACTAGACCTGTTTTGAAGGCAAGAGACGTTTCAGAGGTGGTTTGCCACTGCCTGCCTCGCCGTCACATCCCTCGTATTCCTTTGAGGTCAACCCATCCAAATACTAGGCGGGGCTAACCCTGCTTCGCTTACGAGATCTGGGCTGGCCTAATGTAAGCTGCGGGTAGATTCCCACTCCGTGCAGCTAAATGTGTTGCCTTCCGTGAAGACAGTTTCAGGTGGGTAGTCGTGTTGGTCTGCGCTGAAAGAGCACGATTTCAAATCCAGGAGCACCTTAAAGACCAAGCTCCTGGACTCGAAACCTTCAGAGAGTCGAAGCTCCCTGTGTGATATCTCCATGAAGAGATCTGACAAAGGGAGGTTGGATTCTGGAAAGCTTTCCCCCTGGGAATCTTGTTGGTCTGTGAGGTGCTGCTGCTGGTCTCTAATCTTGCTCTGCTGCTCCCCGTTCAGAGGTATCACACCTCTGAGTCCCCAGAGAGCCAGGAGGCAACATCAGGGAAGGCCTCGGCCTCTGTGCCTCACTGTTGGCCCTCCAGAGGAACCAATTGGCCCCTGTGAGAGACGGGAGGCTGGACTAGATGGACCCTCCCTGACCTGACCCAGCAGGGCTCTTCTGAGGTTCCTATCAGGGGAAGGCCTCGGCCTCTGTGCCTCACTGTTGGCCCTCCAGAGGAACTGGCTGGCCCCTGTGAGAGACGGGAGGCTGGACTAGATGGACCCTCCCTGACCTGACCCAGCAGGGCTCCTCTGGTGTTCCTATCAGGGGAAGGCCTCAGCCTCTCTGCCCTGTTGCTGGCCCTCCAGAGGAACTGGCTGGCCCCTGTGAGAGACGGGAGGCTGGACTAGATGGACCCTCCCTGGTCTGACCCAGCAGGGCTCTTCTGAGGTTCTTCTCAGGGGAAGGCCTCGGCCGCCATGGCCTGTTGTTGGCCCTCCGGAGGATCTGGTTGGCCACTGTGTGAGACAGGAGGCTGGACTAGATGCTGACCCAGCAGGGCTCTTCTGAGGTTCTTATCAGGGGAAGGCCTCGGCCTCTCTGCCCTGTTGCTGGCCCTCCGGAGGAACTGGCTGGCCCCGTTGTGAGAGACGGGATGCTGGATTAGATGGACCCTCCCTGGTCTGAATCCAGCAGGGCTTCTAATGTAAGCAGGGAAAGGATCGAAAGTACGGCACAGTGTGTAAGTCTGCACTGGCATTCTGCAGCGAACTGAAGAAGTAGTCTCTCTCTCTCTCTCTCTCTCTCTCTTGCCTGCATCTGCCCACTTTTTATCTAGCTGGGTAGGGGTGTTACCCATCCTGTACGGGCTTCATGACTGTGAAACCCCGAGGGGCCATTGCTGCCTAATTGGTCAGTTTTAAGCAAACACTCCCGACCGGGTGAGTGGGAAGCTGCCTCAGTATACCACTTCCTGTGGCTTGATGCCCTCATGGGCTGACGCTGGGATTTTCAGCCGAGTTTTTGCGCATCAGTGGAACTCCGCTTGGTCAGCAGGGTCCCCTGCGGCTGCTGTGTGGACTCAGTAGTGTAGCGGGTGAGGCTGCTGGAGCCATCCTCCAAATCCCTGGGTCTGTTACCAAGGGAATTTGACCGAGACAGGCAACTGAAGATGGATCTTGGCAAGAAGAGCTTCCCTGATGCAGGGCATCCCCCGCGCGTACGTGACTCAGCTGGCAAAACCTCCTGAGTGGTTAAAAAAGATCAATGGAGCTGAATGGTCTTTCTGACTCGCAGGGCTGTCGAGCAGCGGGGCTTTCCGCAGCAGAAAAGGGAGCGTGTCGTCAGCCTGGCCCTCGTGGAGGAGGAAGATGGCAGGAGAGGAGTCCAGGCAGCTGGACCCAATCTGAAACAAGCCCCCCCTCCCCCCAACCGGCTTTATTTCTCTCGGCCAGCCTTCTGAAGCCCGAAATCTTGTCTTGGGTTGTCTGTGAAATGGTGAATAAGGGCAGAGGCGTGGTCCTTGTTGAGAAAAAAAGCTTGTTTTCCAAAAGGCCTCTTTCTGCACTTTCTGGTCACCCAGAGGAGGAGAGGAGATTGGATTTATACCCCGTGCCCTTCACGTGGAGCCTCAGAGCGGCTGACAAGCTCCTTTCCCTTCCCCTCCCCCACAACAGAAACCCCGTGAGGGAGGCGGGGCCGAGAGAGCTCTTGGCAGAAACTGCTCTTGAGGGGACAGCTCTGAGAGAACTTGTGACTGACCCACGGTCACTCCAGCAGCTGCATGAGGAGGAGTGGGGAATCAAACCCCGTTCTCCCAGATTAGAGTCCGCCGCTCTTAACTGCCACACCAGACTGGCTCTTTAGCAACAGTTAGATTCGAGTCCAGCAGCACCTTAGAAACCAGCAAGAGTTTCGGCATCTAAGCTTTCAGAGCTCCCTAGGCCGGACACAAGCAGGAATTGAGGCCTCAGAGTCACAGCGCTGAACCTAGAAGGGGGGGGGGGTAGAGATTGTTGGTTGTTATATTCTATTCCCGTGTGTGTGCATCAAGACAATAAGCAATTAAAAAGTACAATAAGCAGGTGTCCCAACAGCAGTTGACTTCCTTTTGTGCCCCTGAAAATGGTATTATAATTAGGTTAGTTGCAGGTAGCAAAACACCCTGTTGGGGCTGTTTTCTGTGGAATAGTATTGAGGGAAACAGGAGAGGCAAAAGAAACTGCAGATTCTGGATGTTCCACTTGAATTTACTTTTTGTCAGCTCCTTTCCCTGCTTTTCTCTGCAGCTGCCCCTTTGTTAAAACGCATCCTCTGAACCTCGCGGTTCCCATTTAGCTACTGAATTCTCTGGATATGTGGATTCTGCTTTCATAATTGTTTTGAAGACTGTCTTGTTCCTGTGGTGAGACATATTTCTTCATTTCAGGAATGCTTTTTTAAAAAACTAGGTTAAGAAATAACGTGCATAGATCGACATGCATCGTGTTACACAAAAGCTTACACATGTACACTGTTCAAGCAGCCAACTTCTCCAGTGAAGCGGGTTGATAGTCCTCCAGTCTCATAAACCAATAACCATCAAAGCAGTTATATAAAACTTACATAGAAATCATAACATTAAGATAAGACACACTCCCTAATTTGTAGAATTTCACTAATAGACTTGGTGTAGCGGTTAAGTGTGCGGACTCTAATTTGGGAGAACCGGGTTTGATTCCCCACTCCTCCTCCACTTGCACCTGCTGATGTGACCTTGGGTCAGTCACAAGCTCTGGCACAGCTGTCCTTGAAAAAGAGCAGTTTGTGTCAGAGCTCTCTCAGCCCCACCCACCTCACAGGGTGTCTGTTGTGGGGAGGGGAAGGGAAAGGAGTTTGTGAGCCGTTCTGAGACTCCAAGTGAAGGGCGGGGCATAAATCCAACCTCTTCTCTCTTCTCTTCTACCTCCACACAAAGCTGCCATTTCAGGAACTGACGGCCATTCAGACCCAGACAAAGATCTTAGTAGGTCTTCCCTGGTGCCTTGACGTGGATGGCCCAGGCGAGGCCGGTCTCATCAGGTCTCAGAAGCTACGCCGGATCGGCCCTGCTTAGTACGTGGGTGGGAAGCCACCAAGGAAGTCCAGGGTTGCTACGCAGAGGCAGGCAACAGCCAACCGCCTCTGCTCGTCTCTTGCCCTGAAACCCCCAGGAGAGGTTGCCACGGAGCCAGCTGCACCTGGACCGCGCGTCCCACCACCCCTCGCTGCCCCTGTCAGCAGAGAATCCGGCATCTCTAACCCTGTTCGAAGTGCTGTTCCGATGGCGGCATCGCCTCTTTATTGGGCACACTGTCCATTTTCGTAGGGCCTGATCCAGGCGGGGGCAGAGCCGTGTTGGTCTGAAGCAGCAGAACAAAGGTTGAGTCCGGCCGGGCCCCTTGGAGACCCACTGAGTTTCATGCAAGGCACAAGCTTCCGCATTTGGTTGGTCTTAAGGGTGCCGGTTGGACGCAGCCTTTGTTCCGTGGGGCCTGTACGTTTTGTCTGGCGTGTGCTCTTTAGGCCTCCTCCTCATTTAAAGGCTTCTCGGTGAAACAAAGCGATGCCTCCCCCTCAGTAAGTGTCGTCAGAAGCATCCGTGGTAGTGAGCCAATCAGCAAACCATCAAAGGGAGGCGGAAAAGTCTTCTGCTCTAGTAGAGCATTGCCTTTGTGCTGCTGGTTGCATTCCAAGGCTGTGGAATTACTAAATTATGGGATTTGCAAGATGTCCTTAGTAGCTTTACCCCATTATTCCTTGGAGGGAATGGAGTTTTGTCCTACAGGTCGTCTTGGAATGCTCTGCCAGCATTTTACATCCCTGTATGTTGGCGACCACACTCTGTCCTCCAGTCTAAATGACTTATTGGACTGGCATCTGTGTTTTTCTTTTCTATCCTAGCTCCTCGCTTGTAAGTGAAGTCTTAGCCACTTCTCAGTTAACTACGCAGAACTGACGTGGCTGTCCATGTCAGCTTGCTTTTGCAACAGGAACTGCTCGTAGACACACACCCCCATCTCCTGCTTGCCCTCATCACACAATCTTTTTGGTGGTGCCTCACCTTTCCTCTCCCACGTCAAGGGCCTTCTCTGTGGTGGCCCCATCCTGGCCGGATGCTTTGTCAGAGAATATGTGTGCCCTGCAGGGCGTTGTTAGCTTCTGCAGGGCCTGCAAGACTTCCTTCCGCCAGGCTTCTAATTAGTTGTTATGTAAGTGAGCTGCGGTGGCTCAAGTGGTTAAGACGCTGAACTGCAGGCTGTGGAAGGTCGGTAGTTCAGCAGTTCGAGACCCGGGTGCCGCATGATGGAGTGAGCTCCCATCTCTGGTTCCAGCTTCTGCCAACCTAGCAGTTCGAAAGCAAGAAATTGCAAGTAGATAAATAGGTACCGCTTCGGTGGGAAGGTAACAGTGTTCCGTGCGTCTTGGTGTTTAGTTGTGCCGGCCATATGACCACGGAAATGTCTTCGGACAGCGCTGGCTCTTCTGCTTGGAAACAGAGATGAGCACCGCAACCCTAGAGTCGGACTTGACTGGCTTTCGAGCAAGGGAACCTTTACTTTAAGTCTTGTGGTTCTATTGTTTCCACTGGATCATTTCATTGTTGGATTATTGAATGCAGCCATGTTCTATAGGAGGTTTATATAGTTGGTTTTAAATGGTATACACCTGAAAAACAAAACGGTGCTTGCTGACTGTATGTCCCTTCCCCCTGCCTCCAAATCAGGGGAGACAGAGATCAGAACTCTTTGATTTCTGTCTTGCTCCTGCTAAGTCACGCCTTGTGGTATCAGGTAGTGCTGCTGGTAAAGAGCCCCCCCCCCCTTCACTGTTTACGGTGTGTGTCTTTCAACAGCAGCTGCCTGGTAACCGAGCCCTCCCCTCTGTCACACTCCATTACATTTTAACAGTCCTCCTTTATAATGGACTGGCAAAACCATTGCATTTGGTGGTTGAAAGAACCGTCAGGGGCTGCTCTCACAAAAATACACCCAGTAAAATACCCTCTAATTATCATGTCTCGGCTTAATTAGAACTCCTTGGATGCCGTGTGAGGAGGACGAGTGTATCGCATCTAATGCCTGACAGTATAAAAAATGCATGATGTTGTAAATGCAGGGCTCATGTAAAACACACATGCTGCATGTTACGGTAACTAGCTTTTGAACCTTGCTGTGAATGACTAATTCATGAGTACTTTCTGTTACAAGCCGCTCTTTGCCCGTCTCCTTTTGCTTTCTTATTTGTAGGTACCAGCAGACAGGTGTTAGGTGGCTCTGGGAATTGCACGGCCAGCAGGCGGGAGGAATTCTGGGAGACGAGATGGGATTGGGCAAAACCATCCAGATAATTGCCTTCTTGGCAGGTCTCAGCTACAGCAAGATCAGGACTCGCGGTTCAAATTACAGGCAAGTGCTCTTCGGCAGACAATCAGTCTGTGGAGCTCAATTAATATTTCATTGGATGGATTGCTGGGGAGGAGGGCCCTGTGAATTATTAACGACATTTCAATTACAGTATTCCTTTAATTCTTTTAGTGGGGGGGGGGGGACATCAAAGGGAAAAAAATTTTTTACGAGACAATGGGGCTGGAGGGCAGGAAAAAATTAAACATGTAACACTCTTAATGAATTCCAGGCACCGATGGCTCATTTGGCAGATGAGCCTCACCAGATATTTTTGGGTCAATATTGTGTCTTAAGGTGAGCTAGTGGCAAATGGATTGCTTACAAATTCAATTATGTTAATATCAGTAGTTTACGCAGTATGGAATTTTCAATTAGATGCAGTTCCCTTTAGGTGGACGGTATTATGTTTTATGGCACAATATTTGCAGTGGCCAGGCAGCGGCCCCACGACTTTGCCCAGCAGACAGGAAGTCGCGAGCCTCTCCGTGGCGATGAACGTGAGAGTCAAGGGTGGCTCTGAGCATGCGATCCCACCTCCTTCACATTGGCTCCTTATCCCTCCTCACCTTCTTCATAAGAACATAAGAGAACATAAGAGACGCCAATGTTGGATCAGGCCAAAGGCCCATCCAGTCCAACACTCTGTGTCACACAGTGGCCAGAAATACCAGGTGCCATCAGGAGGTCCACCAGTGGGGCCAGGACACTAGGTGCCCCTCACACTGTTGCCCACCCCCCCCAAGCACCAAGATGACAGAGCATCCCTTGCCGCAGAGCCCCTATCTATACCTTGTGGCTCATAGCCACTGATGGACCTCTGCTCCATATGCCTATCTAATTCCCTTTTGAAGCCGTCCATGCTTGTAGCCGCCACCACTTCCTGTGGCAGTGAATTCCAAGTGTGAATCACTCTTTGGGTGAAGAAGTACTTCCTTTTATCCGTTCTAACCCGACCGCTCAGCAATTTCTTGGAGTGCCCCCACGAGTTCTTGTAGTGTGAGAGAGGGAGAAAAGTACCTATTTCCCTACCTGCTCTTTCCCATGCATAATCTTATAAACCTCCTTCTTCCCATCACCCCTCCTTGAAACCTCAAGTAGGAAGTTATTTGTGGCTCTGAGTCCAGGGGAGTCGGCGAAGTGGCTCAAAACTCCCGGAAAACCCAATGAGTGGATGGGTCTTCGGTTGTGCTCCTCTTCCTGAAGAGGCCTGTGTGTGTGTGTGTCTGTGTCATATTTGAGACCAGAAGGTTGTGATGGCTCTTTGGCTGGGAACATGGGCCGATTCAGTTTTTACTTTTCCAAATTTATATTAAGGGTGGGAAGGGTCACAGAGCTTGCAGTCCCCGTGGCGGCACCTTTGAGACTCAGATGAATGGAGTACTGTAACTTATTACACCAGCAGTGTAATATAGATGCCGTAGACAAAGCTGTGTGCTTCAAGTGCAGCGTATTCCTAGAGGCTCCCCCGCTATTCTTTTGTTGTTGTTCAGTCGCACAGTCGAGTCCGACTCTCCGTGACCCCATGGACCAGATCACGCCAGGTCTTCCGCCGTCCTCTGAAGTTGGCTCAACTTCATGTTCGTTGCATTGATGACACTGTCTAGCCATCTCATCCTTTGCCGTCCCCGTCTTCTTTGACCTTCAATCTTTCCCAGCATCGGGGCCTTCTTCTCCAGCGAGTGCTCCCTTCTCATTGGGTGGCCAAAGTATTTGAGCTTCAGTTTCATTATCTGGCCTTCCAGGGAACAGTCAGGGTTGATTTCCTTTAGGATTGACTGATTTGATCTCCTTGCAGTCCAAGGGACTCTCAAGAGTCCTCTCCAGCACCATAGTTCAAAAGAATCTATTCTTCGGCGCTCGGCCTTCCTTTATAGTCCAACTGTCGTAGCCATATTCTTTAGCATAACTTGATTCGTGAGGAGACCTTCCTCAGCATAATTCTCTATAATACAGTCTGTACCTAACACCCTCCTATATGTGTCTTCAAGATATTTGTAGATTTCAAAACACGGGCACTTGGAAGGCTTTCCCATGCCAGTCCCCTGGACTTAATGGGAGTGGCGGAAAGGTACATCTGTGCTGTGGCACCCCTCCCGTTTAGTTCCGGAGACGGAGGCGGGCCGGGCTCCTTTTCATTCAGAGTCTGGACACCCTTTGGCTTTCCTGTATCACAGATCTCTGAAGTGGTGCTCTCGCCCTCGTGCATGTGCGCCTGCTTTGGCTTTTGAACACTGACTCACAAGAGAGCATCCACTTCACTGTTATTTATCAAATTTTGTTACGTTCTTCTCTCCCGTCCCCACCCATTTTATCCTCACAGCAACTATGTGATATTAGGCTGGGAGGCGGCGACGGTCCCAAAGTTATCCCACTTACTTTCGGGGGGGGGGGATTTGAGCTCAGGCCTTCCTGGTTCTGGTCGGAGATGCTCGCCGTGGCCCTGTGCCGGATGCAGGGCCTGTTCGTTGCCAGCTGTTAAAGGAAAAGGAGGAAGACATCCACTCTCCCCAGGATTGCAGGATGTGAATTAATGTATGTTACCCTGCTTCCCTGTATTATGCTGAGGCCCCGAGGACAGGTTTGACACTATTATGCTCTGCAGGAGTCCCTGTGTTCACTCAGGCTGCCCGTGCACTGCGCTGGATACATGCCCATTTGTGTCAATCTGTGTTGGTATCTGTATTATTAATAGTTTTATTTGCTGCATCCTTTTTCGATTCTGTCTTTTGTTTGTCCGTAAATCTTGCTGATTTTTAAGCTTTTTAACCAGCTCATTTCCCTAGCCCACCGTCTAAAGTAGCATTCTCTCTGTAGCATTTACAACTGATTGGCTTCCTGCACCCTCAACGGGAGTAATTGCTAGCATGAAGGTGGAGAGCTGCCCTAAAATGCAATGGTTTAGTTCTTGGATCTTGGCACGGGCGCTTGTAAAACAAGTCGCAGAGTGGACTGTGAGCAGTGTCCCCTCTAAGCTGAGTTAGTGTGAGCCAGCTCACAGTTTTTTAGCCTCCAGCTCACACATTTTACTCTCAGCTCAGGAAGGATGGCTCCAGAGCAAATATTTATGCAGTATCCAAATCGCTTGCTCACGACTTCAATGCCAGTAGCTCACAGAGTAGAATTTTTGCTCACAGGACTCCACAGCTTAGAGGGAACATTGACTGTGAGTGTCATGATTGGTTACGTGCTTCGTCGGCTTCCCCCCCCTTCCTATGACATCACATTGCCATTTTATTTTTGTCACTTTGAGGATTCGTTCCCGAGACTTGCCACGGCAGCTGTGGCTACAGGTATTGTGGGAAGTGTGGCTCCTTTTAATCGAAATACACATACAGCCAGGCCACATTTGGTTCACGGGGGCCACGGGAGGCTTCTTAACTAAGCGTGAAGAGACGTGAGCATCCCTGCTTGTTGGTTTTTTTAAAACACGCTTTCTGAGACAAATAGGAGCTGTTGTGCCTTTGGAGTAGGAGCTCGTTCACCCAGGTGAGAGAGAAGGTGACTTCTTTCAGAAGCCCAGCCTCAAGGCAGAGATTCCAAGCCGTTAGTGTTTGGAAGTCAAGTCACACCTCATGAAATGTAATTCTTTCAATAATGGACAGATAGTTAGTTTGAGGTGGGGAGCCGTGTTGGCCTGCGGTAGAAGGACTCGGTTTGAGTCCAGGAGCACTTTAGAGATCCATGAGATGATCTAACGAAGGGGGCTTTAATTTTCAAAAGCTTCTGCCCTGGAAATCTTATTGGTCTCCAGGATGCTACCGGACTGGAGTCTAGCTCTGCACCATAACGCCGTTTCTGTTTTTTGTCTTTTAAATCCCACACCTTCCTTCCTTTCAGTTGGCTTGCTTTGAGACTGAGGAAACAACACGATCTCTGAAGTTGGAGGTGAAAATTGGATCTTTGCTTCCTCAGTAGCATCACCCCTTCTTCAAAAAAATATATTCACAACTGCTACTAGTATCTAAACAGTAGAGTCGGACAGTTAGCCGTCACTGTTCACATCCTGTGATCCATAATGGAAAAGCAAGGTGCCTTGGATTGTAGCCCAGATCTCATTATTAATATGGCATCGAGGGATATATAATTCAATTTTTTTTAAAGTGCCCAATATATTACCCTGAGAACCGAATAATTTATGAGTGAGAGGGTCCCCCCCCCCCCCGGAAGATCCTGTCCTGCAAAAAGCTGACTAATCCCCAAGATACAGAATAGTGTAGGGTGGTCCTCCTTTCCCGATTGCCCAGTAGCTTGGAATTACCGTGTTCCCTTTCTTCTTCACTTTTGATCTTTATTCGTCTTTATGTGGGAAAGCCATAGCTGATGTGTTCAGCTTTATGTGAAATGTGGTGGTGTACTTCCTGTGGAAACGGAGCGATGAATGTGGTATCGCATTAAATAACACAGCATACCAGCTGGTAGAAAAATAGTGGTCTTG